CAGAGGATTGGGAAGCAACGGCGGGGAGAGGTGGAGACAGTCCTGCCTTTTGGACCCAGAAGCTTGGCTTAGAATGAAACAAAAGCAAAGAAAATCTTACACCTGGTAGGTAAAAGATTGGGACTCTCGACTCAGCCCTCCCTTGCTCTTCAGATGTTCTTCCTTTCTCCGATGAACTGATGGTAGAACAGATGTCTGTGACCACCAGGAAAGGACTGTATTACTCTTAAGAGCATCTGGGTAAGAGCGAACTCTGCACCATGGCTGAGTGAGGCTGCAGCTGCTGGGCCGGAAGCAGGCCAAGGACAACAGCGCACAGGACAAGAGCAAGGCCAGTCTCCACTGCTGAACAAAGAGCTCAAGGTCAAGGCGAGGGGTGGAGGTGGCAGAAGACAGGTGTTGCCAATGTTCCAGTCATGAGCCCAACTATTGCCTCAAACCATCCTCCCACACTGGCCCACGCTGCAAACATAGCTATGTCATGAAATGAACGGTTTTGCAAGGCCACTTAGTCCTTTTTTGTTTTTTAATTGTGGTAAAATATACATAACATCATATTCTTCATTTTAATTATGTATAAGTATACTTTTCAGTGGCATTAATTACACTCACAATGCTGTATAACTATTGCTACTATCTATACCCAAAACTTTTTCATCATCCCCAACATAAACTCTATACCCATTAAATAATAACTCGCCCGCTTCCCGCCTCCAAGCTGCCAGTAACCTCTATTCTACTTTCCGTCTCTGTGAATTGTCTATTGCAGGTGTCTCGTCGAAATAGAATCATATAATATTTGTCCTTCTGTGACTGGCTTTATTTCACTATGCATAATGTTTTCAAGGTCCATTCATGTCGTAGCAAATTTCATGTCTTTTTATGGCTAAATGGTATTCCATTGTACATTCCATTCTGTTTATCCATTCATTTGTTGTCGGACACTTGGATTATTTATATCTTCTAGCTATTGTGAATAATGCTGCTGTGAACACTGGTGTGCAAAAACCTCTGATTTCCATTCTTTTGGGTATATACCTAGGACTGGAATTGCTGGGTCATATGATCATTCTATGTTTAACTTTTTGAGGAGCCACCATACTCTTTTCCACAGTGACTGCACTACTTTACATTCCTACCAGCAATGCGTAAGGGTGCCAATTTCTCCACATCCTTGCTAACACTGGCTCTTCTCCATTTTTTCAAATTCTAGCCATCCTAATAAATGTGAAGTGATGCCACTCCGTCCTTTTTAGTCACAAGGAATCTCGGCCTTCTTTCTTTCGCTAACAAGCTGTGCAATGCTGTCTTAGGATTGCTGGGTTCACAGTGGCTTTGCTCTAATATGAAGTTCTGGGCAAGGAGGGAAGGCTCTGATGGGGAAATCTGGAGGCCAAAGGAGAAGGTACCTGGTAGTGGTCCCTAGGCGTGGTCTCCTTCTTGGGAGCCTGGGTGAAGCCTGGAACCTCAGTGATGAGCCAGAAGGCATCACGGAGAGGAGCTGGCCTACAGCCTTCATATACAGAGGATACAGCTGAGGCCCAGCGCGGGGAGGTGCGCCTGTAAGGACCTGAGTGGATTGGGGTAGGGCAGGGGCTCGAGGCCAGGTCTCCTCATTGTAAGGCCAGCCTGAGGCCAGTGCCTGACTCAGAGGGTCTCTATGTAGCTTTCCTGCTGTCAAGCTCAGAGCTCGAGAGCCCACTCAGACCCCTTCCAGTGACCTGAGGGCTGGGCTGCAGCTTCATGCGGAGGTAGCGATGGGGCAGGGAGCAGGAAGAAGAGTGCCGCCAGGAGACCCGGGGAATTTCTACTTTTATCTCGAGCGCTTGATGAAAATTCAGACCCCTGAGCTCCACCTGCAAGGGCGACGTTTCCATGGTTGTGGAATCGGCCCAGAACATGCATTTCCAGCCAGCACCCAGGCGCCTCTGCTCTCGACCGCCCTGATTCTACCTCTTAGACATGAAGCTTCTGGCCAAGGAGACTCCTGGACCTGTCTTTGCTCCTGTGCAAGTTGTTGAATCTCTCTGTGCCTCCGTTTCCCCGATCGTAGAAGTAAGAGTTCCTTTATCCAACCTGATGTTTTCTTCTAGGGGATTGGGCTGCCCAGTGGGGGTATAGCATTTACAAAGAATTGCTCTTTGGTTAAGTAGTTGGTAAGAAATATCAGCATAAATGGGTCAGCCTAAGGACTTGGGTCAAATAGACTGTGGGGTGGGGCGGGCAGCGTTGTTGAAGTTTAGGAAGTGAGACCATCCAGGACAAGGAGGTTGTATGAAAACAAACACTCATTTCTGGATGTGATCATGCACTGGAGGCCTACCACGTGGGCGCACGCCTCCATATTGACCCTCTTGGCCGATCGGCCTCAGCAGGCAGCCCAGGGCCTCAGAAAAGTAGCTGCTCACTGATGGGAACCAACTCCACCCCTGAAGCTGCCTTCACGTCTGTGCTTCACACGGTGTGGAATGCGAACCCCTGGCGGCACCCAGCCTGATTCAGGTCGCGCTGGGCCAGGGCATGACATAACATCAAAAATGCAGTGTGAAAACGTCATTCCCGTCTCAATTTTACTGTCAACCCTTCCAATCTTATCATGGAAAAAGACTCGGGTGGTTTTGGTCTCTCTCCTCCACCTCTCTAATCTACCCTTCTAACAAGGAGAAAGCAGGCTTCGGGCTCGGAGCTTTAGTGTGTCAACTGTAGCCAGTTGGAATTCAGAGACCCCAGTTTTTTTAAAAAAAATGTATTCATTTACAGTAGTGACAGTTTCCTTGAAAAATAAACCTCTTTCGGTAGAGAATAGGTGCGTCTGCTTAGCAAAAGTATTAAGAAACTAGTTTGGGCTTTGGGAAAATTTCTGCAGATGGATTCATTCATGATTAAAGTTTTGAAAGCACTGATCTAGTAGTCACCTATCTGACACACTTGATCTTTCTGGTGTTAAAAAGAAAAGCTTCAGGAGCTGATGAGGAGCCTCCAGGTAGGAGCAACTTCATCTCTTGCCTGAAGCTGGAGTCTGAGGCCACTGCCCCTTCTGGCACCTTTGATACCTACCACATTGTGCAGTCTCCTTTGGCTTGGGGTAGCGCCTGGCATGGCGACCCCTACTGCAGTGGCCATGAGCATGGAACGCAGCACCAGGCAGACCTGGGTTTGATTCCTACTCTGTGCTTTCCCAGGGTTGCCATTTTGGGCAGATTATTTAACTTCTCCAGAGCTTAGTTTCTACAGTTTCTACTTTGTACAATAAGGGTGACAGTGGTCCCCACCTCAACGGGCTGTTAGGAAGTTTTCACGACATAATAAACATAAACTGTACAATATCTGACACGTGGTTGCTGTTAACGATTATGATTATGACTATTAGCCACTGTCGTCAGTGACTGTGAATTTTTTAATTTTCATTTTGCAAATCGTGGAGCCGTTGAGGAGAGCTGGCTCAGCACGAACTCTTCCTGGAACTTGTTTGTCAGGTCACAGGCACGTCACACCAATTCCCCTCCCCCAACCCCTTATTTTCCCCTGGAATCTTTGTCAAGTCCTAAGCCAGGAAACCTTGTTACATTAATTATGAAGAAAAAGCATGTTTTATTTAAAATCCGGGCTGCCGAATATTCTGCCATGCCATTTCTCTGTGACAGCAGAATTACTTTTGCATTTAGGGAACCCTAATGAATTTAAAATATAACTATATCTGTGCTTAGATACACATGTGATTTCTTGTGACCCGATTTCCCTAAATACCAGTGTACAATGCCAAAGCTAACCAGCTGGATTGGTGCTTAGGACCAGTTTTTGGTTTTTTTTCTTTGTTTTGAGTCTATAAGAAGGTGCCATGAAATTCAGTCCCTCCCTTTTCCATAAGACTCTGTGGATTACAGCAAAAGGGAGTGCAAGAGACTCAGCCTGCAAGAGACTGCCGTTCTGGAGAACTGCGGTTTTGAAAAGCGTGGCTCCTATCTTCCCGACAGAGGCCTTGTTTGGTCCTGGGCACCGAGAAGATCTGCATGTTTAAATTAATCAAAAGTTGAGCCCCGTTACTTGACCATCTAAAACTGGCCCCAGTGCTTCAACACCCATGGTGTTTCTGAACCACCAGACAAGGTTGCTTTTTCTCATTGTCTCTCTGTTTCTTTCTCTCTCTGTCTCTCTCTCTCCAAGGTAGAACCAGGCATATAACATACATCCGTCAAGCAGAAAGGGTGTCAACAGAAGAGAATGGTGGGGCCTGTGGGATCAGGGAGGCTTAAGTTTCTTCCAGGGGAAGCAGCAGGTCCCCCTCCCCCTCCTGCCAGGCAAGAATGTGAAATCCCAGTTAGTAGAATATCTGGTTTGCAAGAAAAGCTGGAGGCTTGTATTCTTATGTGAAACATTCTGATTCTTAAAAGTCTCCAAGCAATTGAAAGGAAATCAAAATACTCTTTGGACTGACCCCCTCTCTTGCCAAACAAAACTCTTGCTGTGCGCAGAATGTACACCAAGCTGCCAATCTTTGACCTCTGGTCTATGCAAACATTTTTGCAGCTCTATACTGAGGGGGAGTCTAGCGTTCTAGAGCTCTTGGGTTTAAACTCTAGGGTTTAAAAAGCCCAGAAATGGGAGCAAACATGCATTTTAATTGTAAGGCCTCTTGCTGGGGAGAAGAGGAGCCATCGTCTCTCTTCCTTCTGAGGATGGGCCGACATCAGCAGGGCAGGCCTACTAAGCCTTGTCCTCTGGCTTTTGACCTTGGAAGAAGTCAAATTCCATCATGGCCCAGCTCAGTGGCATCCCAAATCACCCTAAGAACCACAGAAAGAAAGGTCTCTAAGCCCTGGATACAGGGCAGGTCCTTCATGCAGTTGGCAAGGAAAACCAAATCTAGATCAGACCAGGAAGGCACTATGAATGAATTCCTGCAAGATTTGACCAGTACCTCTTTGGATGGTGGATATCTGAATTTAAAAATCTAAGTTAAAGATGTACACACCGAGATGTCATCCTAAGGTTTGATGCACCATCTGAGTTCATGGGAGGGTATTCAGGCGTCTTTCCAATGGGTGGTTATCACAGACCCCGTGACGGTTTTTCTTTAAGTTTTCAGAGGTACATGGAGTTCATGGCACTCCACCCAGCAAACAGTCCACTGGTCTAAGAGCTTCCTGTCCCTAGAGGAAGGACTATGACCCTGACGCTCTATGGACTGAAGAAATCTCATCTTTAGCCAGGGTTCACGCAAAAGATCTTGTCTAGACAGATGCACAGCAGCAATAGTCTAGAACTCAGCTCTGCCACTTCTCAGCTGTGTAACTTGAGGTCGTTACCCAGCTCCTTATCTGTAAATTGGGAGGATTAACAGTACCTAATTCTTAGAGTCCTTCTGGAGATGGACCAATTTATTGAAAGCACAGAGCCAGGCGCACAGGATTTCTCATTAACTGGTAGCAGTTGGTTATTATTTTTAGCTACGTGGGGCAGGAGAGGCCACCCAGCCCATCTGGCTATGAGGCTCTTTAGCCCCCATGACGCCCTGAACTCTCCAAAGCATCTGAGGGACTTGGCCACTTTCCCCTGGATGTCTGTGCGCTGGCCTGTGAGATGAAGCCGCCTTCCCGACCACCTGTCTGGCACACATCTGGGGTAAGAAACATTCCAAAGCCCTGAACCCTCTCCTTGGAATTGACTAAGCTCATTGCCTGAAGGCTATCTCTCATATTTTTTCTTTTATCCATTATTGACTTATAATTTCATCGCTAACCCTAAAAATTCACTGGGGCTTGCCAAAAAAAAAAGAAAAGGATTTGGGGGGACCATTATCTTTTTGTGAACTTCAAACAGACTGCATCAACTCTCCTTTGCCTGCAAACTTCACGATCTAATTCTTTCTGACTGGCACTTTCTCTGGACCCCCTGTGGGCCTCTGATAATTTCCACTGCTTTCCTCTAGACCTGTGATATTTTTGCTAAGTTTCGGCCCCAGACATCCAACAAGCAATCAAATGGTATGGGGGGGCTTGGTAACAATTTGTCATTGCAGCCACATTACACATATGCAAGTAAGCATTGGAAAATAAAACTCTTTCAGAGGTTGAGTCACTTCATATGGGACTAAGGTAGGCTTCTGAGTACTGTTTGCTGAAAAAGGGAGGAGAAGCTATTGTTTTCAAAGCATACTAATCAGAAAACCCAGAATCTAATCTGCTTCCTGCAGGAAAAGCCGCATGGAGTAAAATGGGAAATAAAATGCAAAGGTATTTAATGAGACAAAGAGATGACTGCTGTTATTTTAGTTCTCATCCCCTGCTTGTTCTCTACCTCTCCCCCAACAAAGGGACACATTTTCTGATCATTATAGACAGCTCATGTTCATTCTGGGAATTTTAATGGAAAAGAGCTAACATTTGGTGAAAGGCACATGCATTGCCTCGTTTAATCAATCCCAACCCTCCCCATATCGGTAAGAGATTATCACTTGGTTTGCAGTAGAAGAAACTGAGGCTCAGAGGATTGTTAGTTGCCCAGCAGTCCACAGCCAGAAGGCAGCACAGCTGAGATTCAAACCCTGGCTCCACAGCCCACACGTGTGCCTCCAACCACAACCAGTAAGGACCTCCAGGAGGCTCTGTTTTGGGGCAAGGCCCCACTCACGTGCCCACAGAGACCCAGCTAACCCCTTGGACCACACAGCACGCAGCTGGAGCCGGCATCTCCACAACTGATCCGCTCCCAAATGTCTTGAGTCCCCCACGCGAGGCTCTCTGAGGCTGCTTTCCTGCCCTGCCCGTTGCAGCCTCCCTCGGGCCCCTGCTCACCTTTACACCTGCTACGGTCGTGGTCATGGGGTAAAGGGAATAAAAGTACTGCCCACAAAGCTTCTCTCCAAATCTAATCCACCCAAGTAAACCTGATGCGTGGATCATTGGCAGCCGGCAGGGTTCTCCTCTAGGGCCAAAGCACGGGGGTTCTTATCCTAGTGCCATCCCAAATAGCTGGAAAACTCGTGTGTGTGTGTGTGTGTGTGTGTGTGTGTGTGTGTGTGTGCGCACGCGCAGAATTTGTAGCCTTCACTGGCTTCCCAAAGAGGTCTCTGTGATCCCCGCCAGATCACAACCCACAGT